CAGCTGAACCCAAGTCGTACCGAAATGAATGAGTTGCCCGCCCGACGGGGCGTGAGCGGGGCCGTCCCGCGTGCGACGGGGCGTGCGCAGGGTTGTCCAGGCTGTCCCGATGGTTGTCCCGATGTCCATCCCGATGGTTGTCCCGATGGTTGTCCCGATGGTTGTCCCGATGGTTGTTCCGATGTGTGGCCCCACGGCTACGACGACAGTTGTCCCGATGGTTGCCCCGGCGGTTGTCTCGATGGCTGTCCCGATGACTGCCCCGATCTTTGTACCAGCGGCTGTCCCTATGATTGTCCCAATGGCTGCCCCAATGGTTGTCCCGATGGCTAACCCAATGGTTGTTCCGATAGTTATCCCGATGGTTGCCCAGATGAGTTGCCCCGATTGTTGTCCCGATGGCTGTCCCGATGGTTGCCCTATTGGTCGTCCCGACGGTTGTCCCGATGGTTGTCCCGCTGGTTGTTCCGGTGGTCGTCCAATGGTTGTCCCGTTGTTTGAATTGATGGGCGTCCCGACGGTTGTCCCGACGGCTGTCCCGATGGTTGCCCCGATGGTCGCACCGATGGTTGTCCCGATGGTTGTCTCGATGCATATCCCGATGGCTGTCCGGATGATCGCCCCATTGGTTGAATCGATGGTTGTCCCGATGGTTTTCCTGATAGCTGTCCCGATGGTTGTCCCAGTGGTTGTCCAGAAGGTTGTCCCGATGGTTGTCCCGACGGTCGTCCCGTTGGTTGTCCCGATGGTTGTCCCGATCGTTGTGCCGATGGCTCTCCCGATGGTTGTCTCGATGCCCATCCCGACTCTCGTCCCGATGGTTGTCCTGAAGATTGCTCCGATGATCGTCCGTTGTCTCGATAGTTGTCCCGATGGCTGTCCCAATGGTTTTCCAGTTGATTGTCCCGATGTTTGTCCCGATGGTTGTCCCGATGGTTGCGTCGACGGTCGCCCCGATGGTTGTCCAAATGGTTGTCACGATGGCTGTCCCGATTGTTGTCCCGATGGCTCTCTCGATGGTTTTGCCAGTGGTCGTCCCGATAGCTGTCCCGATGGTTTGTGCAGACGGCTGTACTGATGGTTGTCCCGATGGTTGTCGCGATTGCTGTCCCGATGGGTGTCCCGATGGTTGTCCCGATGGTTGTGCCGATCCTCGTCCCGATGGTTGTTTCGATAGTGGTCCCGATGGTTGTCCCCATGGTTCTCTCGATGGTTATGCCTTTCGCTGTCCGACAGTGTCTCGATGGTTGTCGCGAAGGTTATCTGGCAGTGTCCCCGTGGTTGAACAGATGCTTGTCCCAAGATGACTGCCCCAATGATTGTCCCGATGGTTGTCCCGATGGTTTGGGCAGACGTCTGTACCGATGGTTGTCCCGATGGTTGTCCTTCCGATTGTCCCGATGGCCCCATGATCGTCCCGACGTTGTCCAGACGGTTGTCCCGATGGTTGTTCCGATGGTTGTCCGGTTCTATCCCCGTAGTTGTCCCGATGCTTGTCCCGATGGTTGTTCCGATGGCTGCCCTAGTGGTTGTCCTGTTAGTTCTCCGATGAGATATGAGATGGTTGTCCCGTTGGTTGCCCGATGGTTGTCCCGATATGTATCCCGACGGCTGTCTCGCTGGTTGTCCCGATGGTTGTCCTGATGGCTGTGCCGATGGTCGCCCCGATGATTGTCCCGATCGTTGTGCCGACGGCTATCCCCATGCCTGTCCCGATGGTCGTGCCCATGGCTGTCCCGATGGCTGTACCGATGGTTGTCCCGACAATTGTCCCGATGGTTGTCGCGATTGTTGGCCCGATGGTTGTCTTGATGGTTGTCCTGATGGTTTGTCCCGATGGTTGCACCGATGGTTGTCCCGGAACTAATCCGATATTGTTCCCGTGGTTGTCCCGATGGTTGTCCCGATAGTTGTCCCGATGTGTATCCCGATGGTCATCAGGTTGGGGGTCCCGATGGTTGTCCCCATGGTTGATTCGATGGTTGTTTCGACGCTTGTCCCGACGGCTGTCCCGATGGGTGTCCCGACGGTTGTCCGGATGGTTGTCTCTTTGGTTGTCCCGATGGTTGTCCCGATTGTTGCCCCGATGTGTATCAAGATGGTTGTCCCGATTCTTGTTCAAAGATGGCTGCCCCAATGATTGTCCCGATATTTGTCCTGATGGCTATCTAGATGGTCGTACCGATAATTGTGCCGATCGCTGCTCTATTGTTTGTCCCGATGGTTGTTCCGATGGTTGTCCCGATGGTTGTTCCGGTGGTTGCCCCGATGGTTGTCCCGATGTTGTCCCGAAGGTTGTCCAATCTTGTCATATGGTTGGTTGCCCCGCGATTGTTGTCCCGTTGGTTCTCCCGATGGTTGCTCCAATGGGTGTCCCGATGGTTGCCCCGATGGTTGTCCCGATGGTCATCTCGATGGTTGTCCCGATGGTTGCCCCGACGGTTACCTCGATGGCTTTTCCGATCTTTCCGATGGTCTTCCTAATGGGTGTCCCGATGGTTGGCCCGATGGTTTTCCAGATGGTTTGTCCAGACGGCTGTGCCGATGGTTGTCCCGATTGTTGTCCCGATGGTTATTCACATGGTTGTCCCGATGGTTAATCCGATATTTGCCCCGATGGTTGTCCCGATTGATGTCTTGATTGTCCCGATGGTTATCCCGATGGCTGTTTCGGTGGCTATCCAGGTGGTCGTCCCTTTGGTTGTCCCAATTGTTGTCTCGAAGGATCCCGTTGTTCTCCCGACGGTCTTCCCGACGGTTGCCCCATGCTTGTCCTGCTGTTTGCGAGTACTCATCGTTCAACATCAAGCCCGATCCCCGACCTCTTTATCACCCGTAGAGTGGTCTCGGAAGCATGGATATGGTTGGACCACAGGGGGCACGCATCGCCCTCCGAGGCCCAGGAAGATAGCTGTCCCAGGCGGTGGATCTGGATAAATGCCAGCCTCGGATCTGATCGATGCCACTCCTGGCACTCTACTACCACCCTCCTGCGCCATCCCGCGCGGAAACAAATGATTTACCAGCCCTTGCCTGCCACCATCCTGCGCGCCGCCTGAGGTACCCGTTGCTGGGTATCGGTAATTACTGCGAGGCGTGGATCTCTCCATATCCACCGCCTGGGAACCAACGCCCTGGGGACCCAGCGGGCGGTGGATCTGGACATATTTGGGCCCTGGGGGCCAACATCTGTCCATATCCACCGACCGCCGAGGTCTCGGAAAATGTATCCTCCAGGCGGTGGTCATGTATAAATCCCCGCCTCGGAGTTACGTCCACCCACGTGGCTAGCGGGCCACAATTCGAGCCTCAGGCGGCCGTTTGGGAAAACTCCGGCATCCCCGGAGCAGTCTCGACGATGCGCAGCCGACGGCAATCAACACAAGCTCTGATGTCCTCATCACAGAGGAATCATTAATATCAAACCCAAGAACCGTTAGAACGGACAACGTGGACTCACCAGGAAACAATGGAGGGGGGGTCGCAAAACTGACGGAAACACCTCCCTCACCTCTAAGAGAGGGTCACAAAAAACTGACGACCGCCACCTGGGGAACTGCGGGGATATTGCAGCGAAGAGGAGGGGTTGGGAATTCTGACGACGGCGCGGCCGCCCGACCCGTTAGTCCCTTTTGCCGAAAGTGAACCGACGACAGCGCGGCCAGAAAACCCCGAGTTCGCTTTCTATTGGAGTCGCGCTAGTGATATTTCCTCCAGGAATCTCAAGGAGATCTCCGAGGCCACCCCGAGAGCCATCGGACCCTCGAGCCCCGAAGCCGCCCCCCCTCTGCAGCGGCGCTGACGGCCTCGAGGCCCCACAAAACAGGACACCGCTGACCACGACTTTGAGAATCCCATGCGCCAATGCCCTGCCGCGGGCTGCGCGGGCCCCAGCGGGCGGTTGAGCCTCCTCCTCCTCGTCCTCCTCCTCGTCCTCGTCCTCGTCCTCCTGCTCCTGCTCCTGCTCCTCCTCCTCCTCCTCCTCCTCCTCCTCCTCCTCCTCCTCCTCCTCCTCCTCCTCCTCCTCCTCCTCCTCCTCCCCCCCCGCCGCCCTCTCCACCCGTCCCCCCGCCCTCCACACCCAGCGGTCGTGTCGTCCCTTCGTGCGTAAGCTCCTCCCTCCTCTGCCACTGGGCTCTTCTGGCGCCGAGGTGGAAGGCAATGGCGCACCGCTCCCAGACCCCCGTCGCCGTGACTCTTCCACAGCGCCGACCCTCCGAGGTCTTGACCCCTCCCCCAGAACCGGCTTCTCACCCCAAGGCGCTTCTTGACGGCCCCGGGGCCCGGCAAGGGCCCCCGGAGGCCGCAGGCAGCGAAAAACCTCGCGCCGTGCTTTTTCTCTGGCCGCGCGAGGGGGTCTCTGGGCCTGCGTGGCCCCTGCACAGCCCTCGACGCCTGCGATGCCCGGAACGGCTGGCGACTGCGGTCCCGGTGCACGGGCCGGCCCGCCGACAGTGCGTGGAGGGGGGGGCACCTCCCCCTACAGGCGGGTTTTGGAAGAAAAAAACCCAAATGCCCCACAATAGCAATAGATTGTCGACAAAACGTTTCCACACTGTTTTTCCCAACCATCCTGTGGTGTTGGGCCCTCGTTTTGAAAAGACAGCGCCCCGCGTCTCCTCCTCCTCCCCCTCCCCCATACAGGCGAGTTTTCGACGAAAAGTGAAACATAGTCCCAACATGCGCAAAAATAAGAGAAAACGCTTCCGAACTTTTTTGGGGGGAGACTACAGGCCTCGGAAAAAAATAGCGAACACTCATGCCACATTCATCTGTCAACGCCTCCCCCTCCCCCCAGTGTTCAAACTTGGCGGTGGGTCTGATGAGTTGCACCTCGACCGCAGTCCCCCCCGCGCGTGCCAACTTTGAGTTGGGGGGGCAGGGGGAGTGCTCACTGACTGCTTCCCTCCACCGTCTTTTCGAACCTTGCTCCTGCAGGGGGACGTGCCCGACTTAGCAATGCGCGAGGGGGGGAGGCGGCAGGCAGGGATCCCGGCCTCTGCGGCCGCCTCCGTCGCCCTCTGCTTGGCACCCGCCTCCGCCTTCTGCGCCTTCCAGGGGCGAGGAGGAGGAGGAGGAGGAGGAGGGAGCAGGTGGAGGAGGAGGAGGAGGAGGAGGAGGAGGAGGAGGAGGGAGGAGGAGGAGGATGAGGAGGAGGAGAAGGAGGAGGGAGAGGAGGAGGAGGAGGAGGAGGAGGAGGAGGAGGAGGAGGAGGAGGAGGTGGAGAGGAGGAGGAGGAGGAGGCGCCCAGAGATCCGACGTTCCAGAAAAATTGGAGCGGGCGGTTTTGGGCCGTTTTCGGCCTCCGGGGGCCCTCGCCAACACGGCTCAGGGCGAAAAAATGGAGTGGGTAGGGTTTGGGCCGTTCTCGGCCTCCAGGGGTCCTGGCCGGGCCTCAGGAACGTCAAAAAATGGCTCAAGGCGAAAAACTGGCACTAGGGAAGTGGTCCAGACCTCCGTGGCCCACGCATCGAAACAGTTGGAGCGGCCAGATGTCTGCGCAGGGAGGGTCAGAAGCATTCAGAAAGCTGCGGCTCGAACTCGACCTCCGCTCTGGCAGGCTCTTCTTTCCTTCGCTCTGCACGCTGTTCTCCTGCAGAGCGGGAGTTCGACCTCCAAAATGGAGGCAGTCGATCCTCTGGGCCAGTTCCCAAGGGAGGAGCTGGCATTGGTGTGCAACAGACTGTAGTGCAACCAAGAAAAAGGGAGCTCGAACCAATGTAAAAACAAGGTGTTCATGCCACAGAAGCTGGAATTTTGAATGGAAAACATGGTTCTCATGTCCGCTAGAAACAAAAAGAAGACGACGGCGAGGAGGGGAAGGATCAGGAGAACCAGCAGCAGCAAGAGGGCAGGAGGGAAAAGGAGGAGAGGACTAGAAGCCACAAACGGGTGAGTACTGTCGGCGCCAGACCCCGTGTACGGGGTGGAACATGTAAAAAAAATGGGAGGAGAACGGAGGACTGGAATTCGTCTAAAGCTGGCCGAAGTCTAGCATAAGTATACTAGAGTTACATGTGGATGGCATCCTTGCACCGGCTACAATATAATCGCGCAGCGGGTGTAACTCTGAACTGGAGCACAAAGACCAACATTCAGGTACCCGATCGTCCTATCGCAATGGTGTGAAAGCTGAATAGCGCTCGATAGACATGAAAACGAGTGTCCAAGACCTTGCTCGGATTCAACTCAACCTTTCACATCTGGTGCGCACTACGAGCACCGCTCGACTGACATCCTCTCACCATTTGGGGCCAAAACAACGTAGCCACGAACACTTCGCGAGGGCACCGCCCCCTGGACCTCTTCCCTCGTCGATCGCGGGCCGAAGCCCTGTCGTTGTGGAGCCAGCACGCGACATCGTCGCTTACTGGCGGCATGGCATGTGACCATCAGCCTGGCGTTTTTTCTCAGACGACAAGATGCCAATGCTGCGGACTGCGTGCCAGCTTCCTCAACAGGCGTATGCTTGAGGTGATCCAACTGCGCTGGGGACCATAAACTTGGCGCTGACGACACCTCGCGCGACAGGGCCACCTTCTGGCGGCGCGACTCTGGGCCAGAAGCTTGGACGCCAGGAAGTTCCGAGCGACATCGGCGCTGTCTGGCGGCATGGAGACGTCCAGACATGTCTTGCGAGGCAATCCCGATCGAATTCGCCAGTTCCTATTCGAACGGCGAGGTTTCTAATCGTCCTGGAGGGGGACCCAAGGGGTCGGGGATCTACGGGCCCGGGTCAATGCAGACCCGGACCAGTCAGACGCTGCAGGATCCTGCAAAATCCTGCAGGATCCTGCAGGATCCTGCGCCCAAGCCTGGGCCAGTGCAGCCCTGGCTCTGCAGGATTCTGCAAGATCGGTCGCTCTGACTGACCCTCGTTTGCGTCGACTCCCGTCTCTGAGCCCCGACGGGGGGATGTCCTGGGGATTGTGCCCCCCCCCCCCCCTGAGGGAGCGAACACTCCTCCCCGGGAGAACTTTCGGTTCCAGAGCGTCAGCGTCGTTGTCGTCGTCGTCGTCGTCGTCGTCGTCGTCGTCGTCGTCGTCGTCGTCGTCGTCCCCCGTCAGGGTCGGCGGCACCGGCCGCAAGGCCTTCCGGGAAATTAGGTCCGAAAGTGGTGCAAGCAATCTGTATAGATACTGAGAAGGAGAGAGAGAGAGAGAGCGATAGAGAGAGAGAGAGAGAGTGAGAGAGAAAGAATTGAGAAGGGACCGACAATCCCGGCCTGCCACACATTTTTTTTAGAACCCAGAAATGTTCTAATAACAAAAACAAGTGTTCTTGAACGTAAGCCCGATGTGTTAAAACAAGACAGTCTCGTGCAGACCACAAAAGGATCCTAGAACATCCTTCGGTGGGCCTATACGCGAGCCAGGACGCTTCGCCACTGCTTGAGAGAGAAAGAGCGCGAGAGAGAGAGAGAGAGAAAGAAATCAAGAGACGGAACGAGAGAGAGAGAGAGAGAGAGAGAGCTCGGGCGACCCTCGCCAGCGCGTTCGCCGCCAAGTCCCGCACCACCTTGGCGGCATCGCTGGTTTTCTCGGTGAGCTCCTGCGGCGGCGGCGCGAGAGACGCCGCCGCGGCCGCGGGCGCCCTGCGAGAGACCGGCCGGCGGCAACGCGGGGCGGCCGCGAGCGAGGGGAGCGGCGCGGGAAGACCCGGGCGGCGAAACGCCCGCACGGCGCCATCCGTCGACCCTCCTCCTCCTCCTCCTCCTCCTCGTCCTCCCCTCCCCCTCCTCTCCTCTCCTCCTCCCTCCTCCTCCTCCTCCTCCTCGTCCTCCTCATCCTCCCTCCCCTCCCCTCCTCCTCCTCCTCCTCCTCCTCCTCGTCCTCCTCCTTCTCGTCCTCCTCCTCCTCCTCGTCCTCCTCCTCCTCTCCTCCTCCTCCTTCTCCTCCTCCTCCTTCTCCTCCTCGTCCTCCTCCTCCTCCTCCTCGTCCTCCTCCTCGTCCTCCTCCGCCTTGTCCTCCTTCTGCTCCTGCCTTTGCTCCTCCTGCCTCCTCCCTGGTCCCTCCTCCGGGTCCAGTCCTCCTGTTCCTCCTCTTCACCATTTTCTTCCCTCTGCTCGTCCTCCTCACTCTTCTGGTTTCTTCTTCTCCTCCTCCTCCTCCTCATCCTCCTCCTCCTCGTCCTCCTCCTCCTCCTCTTCCGCCTCCTCCTCCTCCTCCTCCTCCTCCTCCTCCTGCTCCTCCTCCCCATCCTCGCGAATTTGACGTTGGCCATACAGGAGCAACTTGGCTGTTGCGTTCTTCCAGTTGCGCTGCGCCTGCGTGGCGCGACAATTTGTAAAACACGATGCCGAGTTCAGTTTCTGCAGGCCAACAAGTTACGCCTGGCGGGCGTAGCAGAGAACAGGAGGCGCAAGAGGTAAAGAAACATACGCTGGGCCTACCAGGGCACATAATATACGCCAGCCAGGCGGTGGTAGAGGGAGGGCACCAGATCGAAACGAAAAAACATATGATATTACAAGAAGGCAGGTGGCGCGTGGGGCGACCGGTGTGTCAGCTGACCTGCACATGGTGAACTGTAGATCCTCTGGCCGATGGCTGGGAGGGTACTGGGTCGTTGTTTGTGTTATGTGGGCAGTTTCAATGCTAAAGAGGCTGTGGGCTGGACCAGACGGTACTGCCTGGCCTAATTAGCCCTTGGTATGCGACTCAATTGCAAGCGCGCAGTCTAATGATCTCCCTCTTGCCCTTCCCCATGATAGATCCCAACAGGATCCCCTCAAGTGTCCGACATTTTGGCACGGCAAAGTGCGTAGGGCAACTCGCTTGAAACTATGGACCGGCCAAGCAGAACGGATCAAGGCAGCGCTGCAGTATTGTAAGGCGCGTGAAAACAGAGCCAAGGGCAACACAACGAAACAAGGTGCGGAGGCTGAGGCCCAGATGCAACTCGTTGTGCTCCGGACAGGCGCAAAACATGGAGAGCAACGGAAAACATAAAACATGTGGCCCTGTTGGGCGTAGAGCATCCTGGTCCACAGCCGTGCGGAGGAGGGGGAAGGACACAATCCATAATGCAATCACGCGAGGAAGCCGAGGTGCGAGGTGAAGAAATAGTGCCTCCAGCACTCGATTCGGCCTGCAGCAAGGCGGGCGCCCCTCCGCCGAAGGCCGGAGCGACCGCAGATGTTCGAGGCACTCCTCTCACCCATGATAACCCGCCAGCCCTCCCAAATTCATCCAAAGTGTGTGGGGGCTGGCGCGGTAAGAGGCCTAAAAATGAAAAGGGGCGGACTCGAACTTCATATTGAGGCTAGCACTGCCTCCGTCGGCTGGCCTGTGAATGTTAAAGTAGGGCGCCAGTAGGCCATGCGTAAGAGTTGAGGGTGACCTCTGTGGGGTGGTCCGTTCGGCAGCGGGACTCAAATTGGTAACGTGTACAAGCACAGTTGGGCCAGCACCCTGTTGACCAGGGGGGCCCGAGATAGTAGATCGCTTCCTCCGATCAACCCAGCCCGTTCACCAACTCCCCCGAAGTACGCGATGCGAAATGAAGTAAAGACAGCAGAGAGGATTGTCAGCGTTTGAAAACTGTCCTCCTGGCCTTTGTAGCCCCCCGAGAGCCAGCAGTAGGCCAGCTTTTCGATTCTTCGGTGAATGAAAAGAAAACGGTGCAGTGGTAAGAAGCGAGCAGATAGAGAAGAGCGCCTGCGTCCTAAGGTTGGTTAAAAGATTAAGGGAATAGCGAGATGCGCAGCCGCATGGCGACAGGTGGCAGGAGGTCCTCGGGGTACGAGGGCGGCTCCTACACAGAGACCTGTGAAGGGGAACTTGTTAAAGCGCGGGCTGCGTACAAGTGTTACGCGGGGCCAGCACCCTGTAGAACATGGGGGGCCCGAGATAGTACAGCCGCCCCCTTTTAACCATCCTAGTGAGTGCACACCCCATGCCATCACCCGTAGGAGAAGCAGATGGGGGAAAAGACGGCGTAGTGGCAAACGAGCGGATAGAGAAGAGAGCATCTGTCCTTTGGTCGAAGAGAAAATGGGCCAAAAAAATGGACACGGGAGAAGTGGGACCGCAAGAGTGCAAACACTGTGGGGGAAGAAAGTGCAACAAAAAACGGCAGCCTCTCTTGGGTAGGAGTCGTGGTAGCCATTGTCGCACTAAGGGTAGCTGGTGTCAACGATGTGAGGTCGTAGACATGTTGTGTCTTCCGTGTCTTTCCAGTCTATCCCCAGTCTGATGCGTGCCCTGGTCGGAGTGTCGGGAATTTTGGTTTGGGGGTCGGAGGTGTTTTGAGCGGCGTTGTGCTCTCGTGGGTACGGTTGCGAGTCGCTTGGAACTGTGCGGTGCGCCTGGCTACGTCTTCGTGGCGCTCTTCGTAATGCTGCTGGTGGGTGCGGATTCTGTCCGGTGCGGATTCTGTCCAGGTGCTGGCTCGGTAGTGGGTCGTCGATATCGTTGGTGCGGAGCGCGTCGTGCGTGCAGTCCTCTGCGGGCATCGGTGCGGAACCCGCTTGGCCGTCAGCCATTGGCGGTGGTGACGTTGGCGGAGAGTATGCTCCGATAGTCGCCGGAGCCTGTGGCGGTGTGTGTGTGTGTGTGTGCGGGCGGAACGTCGACAAGCCACAGGAACTGAGGCGGTTGTGCGCCTGGTGGCGGGCAGACAACAGGGATCTTGAGCTGTGGTAGTGATGGGTGTTGTGGTCTGCGGCTCGTTATGCGGTCTGTGTGGCGGCTCTGTTGCGTAGTGGGTGTCGTAGTTCCTGCCTGCGCGTCGGTAGTCGTTGCCTCCGCTGGGAAGGTGATCTGATCAGTCGCATGAGGTGTATAGGGGCAGCATTGAAGTCTGAAGTATGCGACGGCTGTGCCACTATTGTAACTGCCGCGGTAGCTCTGGCGTCTGGAGTTGTAATGTGTACCCTAAGCTTGTCATGGATATGCTGGTTGACAAGACCTGCATTGACGCAGAAACCAAGGTCGTTGTTGTACTTGTCCCGCGTGTTGTCGACCGTGGCTCCAGGTCTCGTTCTAGGTGCTTCTGCCCGTCGAGGTGGTGATGGCGGTAAATGTAAACTGTTTGTAGCGCTCTTGAGGCTGAGTCGCTTGGTAGGCTCTGCTGGCGGTGCCACGTAGTGGGACTGTGGTCGTGCCTGGAAGTCTGGTCGTAACGGTGGGTGCGGCAGCGCGCGCGGGCAGTTGTTGCTGACAAAAGGACTCGCTGTTGTATGCGCCAAGGTACCTGCGCCGCGAATCGAGAAGGAGATGGTCGTTGGGGAACTTGTACGTGTAGCTGCTGTCCTGCTCGCTGCAGTAGAGCACGCAATGCCAACTGTCTTTGTCCCTGTTGCCATCCGTGGAGCGGGGCGCCGTCCGTCCCGACGGGCAGTGCACGTCGCGCTGAGGGTGTGGCGGTAGGGATGTCAGGGCACATGGCGTGGGTTCGTCGCTGTAGTTGTGGCTGCCGCCGTCATCGTTGCCCCACGGGTCGTCGGCAGGTCCTGATGCGGCTTTGGGAGCAGCCATCGTCGCCGTCTGTGGTGACCGTGCGCTGTCGCAGTCGGCTAGGTGCCGTAGGTCTGCGATCGTTGTTGATGTCGATGCTTTCGCTGTGGGTGGAGGGGCACTTGGAAAGGATGCTGGCGCTGGCATTTTTGGCTTGGGTGGTGGAATTGGCGGTGGTGGTGGAGTTGGCTGCTGTGGCTGGCCGAAGTGTTGCCTCGGTGGTTTCGGAGGCATGTCAATGTGGTCGTACTCTGTTTGTTCTACTCGTCGTCGCTGATCCAACTGTTCCTGCATCTTGTGGTAGTATGGATGATCGTCACCTACGTTCGTGTAGTATCCTTCGACCTTCCCTGGTGGCGCATAGCTGAAAGTGTCGCCCATTGAGTGTAGCATGTGCATGATGGCCGAGGGCCCGATCGTGTGCACTGGCGGAATGACGGGGGCAGCGTAATGCTGGGAGTGCATAGTGGTGATGGTTGTTGGTGACACTTCCCCGATCATCATGGGCCACTTGGAGTTTGCTGGCATGGGCGCTAGTAGCTCATAATGGGTCGGTGGCATGTTTGGCTGCGTCGGCGGTGGTGTTTGTCTTACTGTACCTGTCCACTGGTTGAACTGCGGCATGAGGTCGTCGAGTGCTGGTCGTACCTCGACGTAATGAGGCTGCTCATGTCGATTTGGCTGCGTAATGTGTCTATGGCTTGTCAATGATGGCTGTGGCCTGGGGTGGGTGGAGCGCTGCTGCTCCAGATGTGTGCAGATGTTGTTGCCGTTGGTCATTGAGCAGGTGAATGTGTTGCCATCCGTGTCCTGGTGTCTCGAGTGCATGCCACTGTTCTCATCGACTGCGAAGTCTTGGCACTTGGTGATTTGTTGCTGGTATATGTTGTACAGTTGCGGGTAGATGTTGTACAGAGTCTGCTTGAGGTTCTCCTCTGCACCGTCGGGGTTATAGCGTGGGCGTTTGGTTCGAACTTTGTTGTGGTCGATGCCGGTGGATAGTTCGTCCCACGTCATAGCAATGACTTGGTGGTATCGGGTGTCGTGGTCTTGTATGTCACCTCGTACAAAGGGATGGCCGTCGCTGCGTCGTTGGAGGTAACTAAAGAAAGGTACTTCGTAGGGTCGAAGCGCCAAGTGGCTAGCGATGCCCGTATACCAGTGCATTTGCTTTCATCTTCCATTGAGTCGATGTGGTAGTCATTGGAAGTAGCCCACATTGATGCCAGGCAAGTCGGCGAATGTGATGCGGCTTGGCACCATAGTGTAGGCCCCTCCTCCTCCTCCTCCTCCTCCTCCTCCTCCTCCTCCTCCTCCTCATCATCATCATCATCAACATCATCCTCTCCCTCCATCTCTCTCTCTCTTTGCGACTTAACCATTTCCGTTCCCATTCCTCTTCCTCCTCTACTTCCTCCTGCTCGTAAATGTACTTTCCCAGCTGATTCCTCAACCATCTGATTCAGAATACTATTCCTGGTTCCTCATCGCTCTCTTCCTCCCCCCTCACTTCCTTCCCCCTCCTCCTCCTCCTCCTCCTCCTCCTCCTCCTCCTCCTCCTCCTCCTCCTCCTCCTCCTCCTCATCCTTCCCCACCTCATCCTGCTTCATCTGCCCCTCCGTCCTCATCTTCCTCCGTCGTCGTCCTCCTCCTCCTCCTCCTCCTCCTCCTCCTGTTTCATCTCCACTCTCTCCTCGCTCATCCTTACCCTACCTGTCATCTCATGGTCCTCCCTCCGCCATTCCACCTCTCCCCTGCGCTCCTGTGCCATTCCCCGCCCACCCACAGGGTAGGGGGAGAAAGGAGAAACGAGGAGAAGAAGGTTTGAGGAATGGGCGTAGGGCTGGATGATGAAAAGGGAGGAGGGAAGAGAAGGAAGAACACAAGAAGAGCAAAAAGACATCAATGTTGACGAACAATTAGGAAGAGTAATGGGATGGAGCTAAGATGGAGAGAGGGAAGCATTGATGGATGGAGGAGGAGGAGGAGGAGGAGGAGGAGGAGGAGGAGGAGGAGAAGGGGGAGGAGGAGGAGGAGGAGGAGGAGGAGGAGGAGGAGGAGGAGGAGGAGGAGGAGCAGGAAGAAGGACACTGGGAAGGGAAGTGGAGAGGAGGATGGAAGGCAGGCGAATGGGGAGGTAGGAGGTAGGAGGAAGGAGAACACTAGAGCGAGCGGAGGAGAAGGACGAGAGCGACAGGGGGCGTGGGAGGGGAGGAAGGAGGGAGGAGGAGGAAGTGAGGGAGGAGGATGAAGGAGATGGAGGAAGGAGGGGGCACGAGGATGAGGGACGATTTTGAACTACTTGCTAGCGGACTCTGCCCTGCCGACTGGATTAGTTTACAGTCGGACTGCCGAAATAAGGAACGATCATTAGGGAACGGAACCCCTTTCTGACCCCGAAAGCGCCTGCGAGCACGAGGAGGGCTCGAGGAACAGCCATGGAAGGACCTAAGGAACAGCGAGCCCTTTCCGGTTCCAAAGCGATCCTCATTTCTGTGTCTTGGCTGTACTTGGCGTTGCCCGGTGCCGGGTCACCGACTTCGCCCCATCACCGTCTGATGCGTCCTACCGACTGGATGTTTTTCCCAAGCATCCTGTGGTGTTGGGTCCTTGTTTTGAAAATACAGCGCCCCGCGTCTCCTCCTCTCTTCTCCTCCCTCCTCCACACCCTCCTCCCTCACTGTGGCACACCCCTCACACGCTTCGTGGCCCCATAAGAAGCTCCACCGAAGGCCCCGATGGCCGCGCTCACATGCGGGACCCCCACGCTGTACAGCGCTTCGTGACCCTCGTGGCGTGGCTCACTCGGGAGCTCCACCGAAGGCCAGATTGGCTGCGCTCGCATGCGGGACCCCCGCCCAGTACAACGTTTCGTGGACCCATAGGGAGCTCCACCGAAGGCCCCAGTGGCTGCGCTCGCATGCAGGACCCCCGCCCAGTATAGCAGTTCGTGGCCTCATAGGGAGCTCAACCGAAGGCCCCAGTGGCTGCACTCGCATGCGGGACCCCCGCCAACTACAACGTTTCGTGGCCCCATAGGGAGCTCCACCGAAGGCCCCGCCCGGTGACTGCACTCGCAAGCGGGACCCCCGCCCAGTATGCGGAACAGGGTGTCCCTGGACACTTCCAAAAAAACACCCGAGAAGCCTTCTTGCAGAACGAAATTCTGGAACACTTATTAAGGTTTTTTTTTATACGGACCCGCTCGAGAAGCCTGCCTTGCATCAGAATTCCAACTGAGGAGGGGAACAGATAAGCCACACTCAAATGTCTGGCAGACGCACGTAAACTCAAGGACCCATTGCTGTTTAGGCCTCCCCCTGCGTCGTCGGTGCGCCCATCTTCTGGGCAGGTCGGTGCCGGGCTGGCAAGTTTAAAATCTAAGGGTGTCGTCTCCGGGCAGCGAAGCGATTTCCTGGAGCCCAGGGGGCGTTGTCCCGCTCGCTCCACAACATATGTATTAGACACTCGTGAAACATATGCGCTAGACATTCTCAGAACTCGACTTAAACATTGCGCGTGCTAGCTGTCTAAACGATCT